AAAAATATTTCTTTTTTCCTTTTTTTTGAGACAGTCTTGCTCTGTCTCCCAGGCTGGAGTGCAGCGGTGTGATCTCAGCTCACTGCAACCTCTGCCTCTTGGATTCAAGCAATTCTTGTGCCTCAGTCTCCTGAGCAGCTGGGATTATAGGTTCCCACCACCATGCCTGGCTAATTTTTTTTTTTTTTTTTTTAGTAGAGATGGGATTTCACCATGTTGGCCAGGCTGGTCTTGAACTCTTGACTTCAAGTGATCCATGCACCTCAGACTCCCAAAATGCTGGGATTACAGGTGTGAGCCCCCGTGCCTGGCCCTAGAAAATTATTTCTTGCGGATTTAGAGGCTGGGAGGTCCAAGAGCCTCTGGTGAGGGCCTTCTTGCTACATCATAACATGACAGAGAGCATCACATGGTCAGAAAGCAAGAGCATGGCCATTCAGGTTTCTTTTTTTCTTTTTTTACTTTTTTGGAGATAGGGTCTCACTCTGTTGCCCAGGCTGGAGTGCAGTAGCATGATCGTGACTCACTACAAGCTCAACCTGCTGGGCTTAAGGAATCCTTCCACCTCAGCTTCCCAAGTAGCTGGGACTACAGGCACACACCACAACATCTGGCTAATTTTAAAAAGTTATTTGTAGAGGTGGGGTCTCACTATATTGTCCAGGCTGGTAGGCTGGTCTTGACCTTCTGGGTTCAAGCAATTCTCCTGCCTCAGTCTTAAAAAATGCTGGGATTACAGATGTGAGCCACTGTACCCAGACTCTTCCTTTTCTTATAAAGCCACCAGTTCCATCATAGGGGCTGCACCCTAACGAGCTTTTTTCTTTCTTTTTTTGAGACAGAGTCTTGCTCTGTCACCCAGGCTAGTGTGCACTGTTGTGATCTCGGCTCACTGCCACCTCTGCCCCCCGAGGTTCAAGAGATTCTCCTGCCTCAGCCTCCTGAGTAGCTGGGACTATAGGCATGCACCACCACGCCTGGCTAATTTTTTGTATTTTTAGTAGAGAAGGGGTTTCACCATGTTGGCCAGGCTGGGCTCCAACTCCTGAACTCAGGTGATCCACCCACCTTGGCCTCCCAAAGTAGTGGGATTACAGGCGTGAGCCACTGTGCCTGGCCACTTTTTTTTTTAGACAGGGTCTCGCTGTGTCATCCAGAGCAGTGTAGTGCTGTGAGCATGGCTTACTGCAACCTTGACCTCTGGGGCTCAAGTGATTCTCCCACCTCAGCCTCCCAAGTAGCTGGGGACTACAAATGCATGCCACCATGCCCAGCCAGTTTTTAAATTTTTTGTAGAGACTGGATATCGTTATGTTGTCCAGGCCGGTTTCAAATTCCTAGGCTCAAGTGATCCTCCTGCCTCAGCCTCCCAAAGTGCTGGGATTATAGGTGTAAGCCACTGTGCCTAGCTTAATGAATTTATTTAATCCTAATTACCCCTCAAAGACCCCATCTCCAAATACCATCAACATATGAATATAAGAATTAAGGCCTGGCATGGTGGCTTATGCCTGTAATCCCAGTACTTCGGGAGGCCGAGGTGGGTGAATCACCTGAGGTTAGGAGTTTGAGACCAGCCTGCCCAACATGGTGAAATCCAGTCTCTACAAAACTACAAAAAATTAGCTGGGCGTGGTGGCGGGTGCCTGTAATCCCAGCT